ATTTTTATTGATAAAACTCAGGCTAAAACAATATCATCAAGTTCTGGTTTGTGTCTTACGTAGCTTCTATATTGCATATGTTGTTGTCTAAAAATGAGACTTCTTCCCAAAATCAAAGATTGGTTCAAAGATGAAGCAAGAACACAAAGGATATAGAACCCACAGGGAAATTTCCCTAGAGAAGTTCTTCAAGGACTTTTAAACTGTTATTTTAATCTATGTTTTACAGAGAACAAATGCCGTAATTATGAATGGCTGTCATATTTTCAGATCTAGAAGATACAATGTGACTTTATAATGCTCCTATGTAACATAGGTAGTAAAAGTATATTTTATTGAGCCTATTAATGTAGTTATTTATTCTCTGGTAAAATTCAGAGTATAGGAAACATGCAAGTGGATAATGTAGTCTGAAGAAAATAAGCTCTTGTAAATCCTTGTGCTTCTGCAACATTCAGGTAGATAATACAGTGCTTATAATATAATACTGTTTAATACTATTAAGCTAGCTAATGCAGTGTTCATGTATGGCACTATTTGTTTATTGTGTTAAATATAAATGCTATTTATAGTTAAAGTATTTATTAAGTAAACATTTAACATTATTAGTTTCCATTAGTGATCAGAGGAAGGAATGCAGACAGTAAGAAGAAAAACATATCTTGTACAATGTGACTTTATTGTTACAGAGTTCTGCAATTCCTTGGAGGTTAGACTTACTGGTCCTTGTTATAAAGTGCAGCTGTAATTTTCATATGTTAAAGACCTCTAATGTAATGTAATGAGTGTTGTACCCTTACAATGGTGCTGCTGCATTGTTCCAAATCAGCCTAAGATGTAAGACACTTTAGTGCATGATTTAAAGATAAGGGAGAATTTACCTTGTGTTTGATTTCAAAATCTCAGCGGTGATATAAATGTGTTGTGGTATACTTCTTGTCTCAGTAACATTTGAACAACAACAACAAAAAAACAAAACCAAAAACAATCCCAAACCAAAGACACTTACTAAAACACATGGCTGCAGCTGAAAGAGGTACTAACCAAAATGTTCAATCTGAGGTACTGAGGTACTGATGATTCAGGTACTGTAAAAATAAACTGGGTTTTTAGTTGTAAATTAAAGAGACAGAACACATTTTCAGTTTATTTACAGAGGAAACCTCTTCCTTCCTCATAAATTACTGCTGGGGATCTGCTTACGTCTGAATCTGCTTGTGTCTAAATTATGTAGATCTGACCAGGCTGGTCTTGTGGTTCTTTCTCACTGCAAGTGGGTCACCCTGTGTTTTACATAATCTGGAGCAGATCTGAACACTTGGGATAGCAAGACCCAAGTATTTGTATAGGAATTCTAAGTTATGGGCTTTTACAGCAGGGATTGAATTAGTGTTTTCCTCCTTATTTCCCATACTTTTTTTCTTTTCTTTCCCATTATTTCAAGCTGTAGCAATGACAAGCTTTATTCTAGTATTTGGACAAGAGAGTCCTAGAAACTGTCTCTAAGAACCAATATGGTATTCCATTTATCTTGTCTTCCTCTTTTACATGTAGAACTGTCCATTGCATTGTATTTCTGAGTACCTTGTTAAGGTGAATGTATCTGCACTTCATGTGTGTGTCCATTTGTTTAATGGACTCTGTTTAGAAATGTATCCTGATACTGAATCTAAACTTTGTCTGGCAACATTTTGTTGTAGAAGACACTCAGGAGACTCCTAAACAATCCTACTCATTTACAGCCTCACTTCCAAAATTATAGTACTGAAAGACAAAGCTATCTGTCAGGATTCCATATGTAATCTTTTCTATTCCAAAACTTATTGAAATTCCTCTGCTAAGGTATAAAAACAAAGCTGCAATAAGGAAATCTCCAATGATAGAAATATTGGAAGGAATTATGGGTAACTAGATCATGAACAAAATAACTCTTTTAGACTGCAGTTCAGGAAGTTGCTTTATCCTGAAAAGCTGAATCCTTCAGCTGGGGTTTTGGTGTCTTAGTTTCAGAAATTGTTAGTGAAAATAATACAACTATATATTTTACTTTTGCTGAAATGATTAAATAGGCTGCCCTCATGGATACTTGGACTTTTTCCAAGGGTACTGGCCTAGCAACTTTAGAGTTTACAGGCCTGATAAGACATTTTGAAAGACTGTTACATGAAAATGAAAGGCAATCCTCATCCTCAATAGCTTACTTACTTGGAATTCATATTAAATGCATAAGGGAAATTTATGTAGCCTTTGTGATGTCTATAAGAAGTTGTAAATGGAAAAGCCTACAATCCAGTCCATTGAGGGACTGTAAGGATATGCATGAATGAAGAGATACTGAACATTCTTATGAGAACCTTAATGCTGGAAAGCATAAATAATTTCCTAAGAAGACTGAAATGACTCTTAATTTGTAAAGAAATCTGACCTGTGTTGAGAACAAGTTACAGAAGCAGAAGTTAACAGGGCTTTCTCTGGCTTTAAAGATTTGTAATCTGTATCAATAAGTAAAATCTTGATGAACGTGATTGTCCTGGATCATTCCACCAATGATATTTATTACATGAGTGCAGCAGAAAACACCTGTGCTGTTCACCTTCCTTAGGAGGGATTGACTGTGTTGTAGTCAGCAGGATGTATAAACAGTAGAATTTGGGAAATGATTTTTGTTTATATTAAAATAGTTAAGTTAATTATGAAATGGGAGTGATAATTTTTAGATGCTTCCACTAAATGACAGTTTCTCCTTATGTTTTTAAGAAGCTTGGAAGAACTATGCCAATTTCTCCTTATGTTTTAAGAAACTTGGAAGAACTATGCTATGGTAGCTCTTAAAAGTTAAAATACTGCTTTTCTTCATAAAAGTTTTCCTCATAAAAGTCATCGTGCATCATGAGCTGCCAGTTTTCTGCTAATTTCATGACCGTGACTTCAGAAGTCCCAAAATCCACTAGGCAGTGATTTTAATCTTTATTTAGGATTCACTTGTAGCTAATATTGTTTAAATTCTCTATGCCTCCCTATTTTCCTCCCCCCTCTCTTCCGTCAGCCCTTCATCCATTTGCCTTAAAGGCCTAGGGTGGATGAGTCAGTGATTCCAATCTGTATTTGCTTAGATACCAACTCCCTTTTAGGGATAGCACTATCATGCTTTATCTCAGTAGGTAGTCATGCTTTTTGAACAATTTTGACATCTAGAACTTTCTTTTATTAGATGTAGACTGCTGCACTCCTCTCTATGTTAAAAAAAATGCATGGTCTCTGGGTCAGCTTTTTAAGAGAATCCAAAACCCAAGCAACCCACCAACCCATATAACAAAGATATCACCAATGGCAGATATCTTGGCTTCACAGATATCACCAATTTGATGAACAGTCAAACTGGTTTAAGCTTGTGTGGATCCATCACTGTCTTGTCTATTTCTTTATTGTTCATTCATCTCACGTGGAGATGGCTCTCCTTGCCTTCCTGCCTCTCCCTGGTCCTCACCTCCTCTGCACAGCCAGGAACCCCTTAAAGCTGGTGCTGCCAGACCTTGTGGCTCTGAATTTCACCTTTTGTGACTTGACAGTTTGGAGAAAAGCTAATAGTATGTCTCTCCCTTGCTAAATAAAGTACAGACTGCAGATATCTGGAATAAGAAAGGCTGAAAAGCCAAAATACCTGATGAGGTATTTCATGCTGCTGCCACAGCAACACCTGAGTGCTCAAGCAGGCACAAGAGGTTTCTGAAGCACCCTAAATGCCACAATGGTTTGATGCTCTGGAGCTGCAGCCACATACCCAGATTAGGGGTGTCTTGGAGGACGTGGGGAGGGAGAGAACATTTTTCACCCTTCTTAATTCTCTCTTCATCTGTCAAGCCAGGAGAAACCTGGAAGGGGAACAAATGATGGTATTGCTCTGTGTTAATTATTTTCTAATTAGCTGAAGCATCTAAAATGCTTCTGTCTCTTTAAAATGATGCGGTATTTTGTGCTGTGACTACTACCAAATGTGAAGTTATTTGAGTGAACAGAATAACTGCACGTGTGTTGAGGTGTGAGGTGACCTCATTATTCCTAAATCTGTTCCTGTTTTGTAGCACTCCTTATTCAGCTCTACTCTTTCAGCTGCTCAAGTGTTTTTATTTCTGCTCTGGTTGTGTAACAGAATTTTTTTAAAATGTCAGAATCACAGCAATGTAAGTTGCCAACCTGGCAGAAATTTAGCTGTTAATAGATAAGACAATAATAGAGCAATATTAAACAGGGTTTGTGGCTTCTGAATAAGATAAGAAGAAATACTTATCAGGTTTTACTTTGATGGAAGGATGTTGATTAATGCAAAACATGCTTCATTCCAACTTTGACTTCTGGTAAAGATATTTTAAAAATTATCATTTTGCCATTGCTTGCACAAAGTCAGCACTTCAGAGAACTATTGTGCTGAAAACTCTGACAAATGGTATTCCTTGTCTGCCTTCAGAAGGGTGTGTCACAGGCAGTAGCACTCACTCTGCAATCTGTGCTTGCTCCAGGGCAGAGGTGCACATCTCTGGGGAGATGCTGCTCCCTTCAACCCTTTCTGCTTTTGTTTTTGCTGAGGACTCTGCTGTTGGGACTGTTCGTCTGAAAGTGGGGCACCTGTCCTCTCTCAAGGAAACACAAGAAGTCTTTCTCAAAGCTCACTCAGTGGCATCCAGGCAGCCTTGCTGGTCATACTTAGTAGAGTTTGTTTGAAGAAGGAGATTACATGACTACATTGCAAATGCCATATATTTATGTTAACATGCAAGTTTTCCATTTGGATCTCCAGCATTTAAGGGCCACACGAGAAACAAGACTGCAGCAACATTGCTTGAGAACTCTCTGCCACCTCCTGAGTAGTTCCTGTGGGACATGTTTCTCTAAATAATGCATCCCATCTTTTGTACCATTAACCACTCACCAGAAACTTCCAGGCTCCAGTGGTTCTTGCCTGGTTTCATTCTCTGCCACTCTCTCTTGATTTCTTTTACTAGCTTCAGTATTCTCCGCTGACTGCATGTAGCTTGGGAGCGCTTGAGTGCGTTGGTGATCTGTGGGGTTTTTAACAAGCAGGTAAGTTTTCTGACAAAGTGTGCTTCTTGAGTTAAAGGTTTAGTGCCTATGCCAAATCTATGCTTGCATTAATGACCTCCATATCTACAATTACATATAACAAGCTTTTATAAGCCCCACTGCCTCCATTTCCTGTTGCATTGAAAATATATCTAGATGAAATTTGAAGTAAACTAAGCTGGCAAGAGGAGGCAAAAATTTCAGTTTGGCATCATGCATGACATTGATACCAATTCAGTGATGTAAATTATTTAATTGCAGTCCGCATAAGACGATGCAAAGGCAAAACACGCTGTGTGCTTAAAGTTTTTAGGGGTTTTACATGAACTGGGCTTGTTTGGGGAAAAACTAAGACCTTTTAAATGTCTATTGCATTACAATTTTCAGCTATTAAAACCTATTTTCATGCAGGAAAATGGAAGGAAAATACCTTTTCTCTTTAAATTTTGCATTGTTTGATTTTGTCACTTCACCTTTTAATCCTCTTTTATTTAATATTTTGATGTGTAACAAAAGCTTATGTTTCAATTTTCATCCCTGCTTAAACAGAGAAAGGCTGCAACACTGGGAGCAGGCAGTGTGGGTGTGACTGAGATAAAGCTGATATTAGGAAGTTATAGGGAGAGTGGTTTCTGCCTCTTCATTACCAGATTGTCCACCACTTATCTTCATGCCTGTTGTCTGAGTGATGCTGCTTCTCTGCTGCTGGTACAAAAAGTCCTTTGATAACCTTGTGTGATGATTAAACACTACCAATTGTCCTCAGCTAGGAGGCTGTTTTGTGGTCATCCATGCATCTCCAACTTTGATGCTAGATTAGGCAGTCCCTCTAAGAGAGGTACTCAACACCTGTGCTTTTCAGCATTGTAACATTCATCTCTTGGTCTCCAAGGTGAATCTTAGTCATGGGGTTTGAAGTGCAAAGGACCTGAATAGCTACAAAATGTGCTCAGGGCAGTGACCATACCTGAGGGCAGAGGGTGTTTGCTTAGGTACCTGTGTAGCCTTTCTGATAGTCCCCAGCTCTATTGCAAACTCTCATCATCTTAATTAATCCTGGCTTGCTGGCTATTTGGAGGGATGCTAGATCCAGTGTTGTGCTGTGGGGGGAAAGCTTGAGGGGGCTGGGTGAAGTGATTTATCTGCTGAAGAGAATCTTGGTCTGCCAGCTGTTGAAGTGAAGAAAGTAGATGACCCTTATAGATGGGTCAAAAAGCCATGTATTTTGTCAGACCAGAGCAATTTAATCTTTCTATTGTCCTTATTTTTTTTTTTAAGCTCTTTTTAATTAAAAATTAAACTGGGTGAAAGTCTTTCTCTTGATTCCTAGGAATGTATCATTAGTGAAATAAAACTGTGTCCCTAAAGAAAGAAGTTGTTGAAGTCATTATTACACATAACTCTTCATGTATCTGCTAAAACAAATCTGTATGAGAGACCTCAAAGGAGAAAGCAACAGGGGGATATCACTCTCAAGCTCTTTATTTTATCTTCTCTCATTTCCAGTTCAACGCCATTTGCCTGTGTTTAGGGGAATTATTCTGTATGTCTGTATTTGCAGTGCTTAGGAAAAAAGGAACTTCTAAGCTATCTGGGATTCTTCAATACTTCTCCACATACACTGTTTTTAATTGACACAGAGAGAGATTTGAGAAATCAGATACTATTAAATGCATTGTGTACAATAGATTAATTAAAATTCCTCTCTGTTGAGGGCTTTATCTTACTTCAAGAGTCTCTGCAATTGATATGAAAATGCCAAGGACCTCTGTTGAAATTAGATGACAGCCATAAACTTTGGTTTCACATTGAGAAAGAACAATTTTTTCTAGATGTTAAATTTCATGAGAAGCTTTTCAGTCTAAACACCTTTGGGATATGAAGGCCTAAGCTTAGCAACTTGTTGCTGGTCTTTGGGTAAAACCTGTAAGACATGATTTTGAACTAACGCCAAGCAAGATTCGAAAAGGCATTGCTAAAACATTCATTTCCTGTAGAGGATTTTACTGCATGATAAGCTACCTGGTTCCCAGGAGATTTGAAAATTAGATCTCCCATTTCTCTGCCAAACTACAGATCTGGGAACCTAGCTTTACTGGGTATGTTTTCCCTCAAGCCCTGGTTGCTAAGGTCTGTTTGTGGAAGACTGGCACCTCAGCAAAAGGAGCTGCTGGAGACATGGGAAGTTCTATCCAGACCACAGAGAAGTACTGCAGTAGGATTTGGCTCAGCCAGTGTTGACTGAGAACTGCATAATGAAGTCCTTTTAGGATTTATTCAAAACTTTATTACTTTCTAGGAGGAATTTGCATCATTGTTGCTTCTTTCATGATGAAAAATATAGACTGCTTATGCTTGCCTCCCTTTCATGGTATAGGATGCTTCAGGAAATACTGGTGTCTAGCTTGAATTTTCTTGGAAAATGCAGCCTCCACATGTCATGGTAGTTACTGACATTAAACTGCTCTTGTAAAGATAAAAACATGGATAATACAATAACAGGATTTTTCTTACTTTTCAACAATCCACTGCTGTTATTCATAGCACCTATAAAGAGTTGCCTTGTAGTCCCAGTATACCACATTGCCTTTGTGGGAAAGGTAAGGTTATTTTTGGCTTTGTGGTTGGGGAAGACTGAGCAAAAAGCAGTTGTATAAACTAATGTACCAAATGAAAGATCAGCTGGGAAATCAATCTTGGCTGTTGCTAGTTGAAACCTCCCTTAGCATTTTCCACAGGGAAAGTGCTAAATAAGAACAGAGTGCTGAAATACATGCCCAGCTTAATTTGTAAAGCTGTTCCTACAAGCTTCCTATCACATTACAATATGTCCTTCAGAGTTCTCTCTAAAATCACAACAAAAATAGCCAAACAAGTCCTTCTCTTTGGTGATTTCATGGCTTCTGTTTCTTCCTCAGAGAAGACCAAGTCTGAAGTTTCTCTGAATTCGTCTGAAATTGTAGGCATGATCAATTTGTTTAAGAAACCTTGTAAGTACTTGGCTGATGGAGCACATGATGTCCTGTCATTCAAAAGCTCACTGTTAAGTTTCTGTGGCTTAGTCTGGAACACTTTCAGCGGGGAGCTGGCTGAGGGGGGAATGCGCTGTGCTTCTTGTTTTTGAGTAGGAGCCGCTGCTAATGTATGTGCTGCTTTTGTCCATTTCTATGGCAGGTAGAATGAACAGTGTATGTGTGAAGCACAGTCAAATTCCAACCAGAGAGGTTATTCTGGTTAATGTTTTTGCAGGTAATTCCCTGAGGCATGACTTGGGGGTTTCTGCTCTGCTGTGGGAAAATTTACTCCTCCATTTGTGTTACGTCAGATGCTGTGCTTTACCATACCTTTTGAAATGGTCCTTTTAACTGATGAAAATTTAGAAATTATGGATTTAAATTTTTAAGTAATAGAAAAATACATGCTTTTTTAGGGTCATCTGGATTATTTTTCAAAGTTGTCAAAAAGTTTGTTACTTTAAAGCTTACTACTGTTGTTTTAATTTTGATAGGTTTTCCTATTCCAGTTCTCAAATATCTTTCAGTTGCTCTGGTACTGACTTAACATAATTTCATTTATATTTTTTGCATTGGATCTGCAGGGATTCTTTGACAATTTCTTCTTCAGAATTTATTTGTGTTAAATGTGAATGGACTGAAGCAGTGTTAAGTTTGTACTTACATGTAAATAGCAAGCATGCTGTCAAGCAATGGTGTTGGATTCATGTAGTGGTGTCCTGTTCGCCTCTTTGTTTGGGCAGGGCTGGGGAGGGGGGAGTTTGGGGATAAGGGGCCATCCAAAGTGTTTAAAATAAACAAGATTTGCTTTTACTGTGAGATGATGGTTAACACTGTAATATGACTAAAGCTTTAGTCTGTTTTCAGATTTCCCCTTTATATGTCTATCCCAGTTCAGAAGTGAATGGTGCCTCTGTTTCCACTGGATTGCATGATGTTCTACATGAGCTTCTGGCACTGAAAAGGCATTAAGAGGGGAAAAGACTCACCTGATCACCAAGTGTCCTTCAGAGCAAGGCATGAAGCCCCCCTGTCACTGACAGTCAAGGTTGAATGTTCTCCCAGGGAAAGAAAGGAGAGAGAAAAGAATGCAAAAAAAACCCTTGGCTTCTCAACAAGTTATTTAATCAGCTCCAATTACAGATTTAAATGATGGAAGTAGTAAGCAGACTTACTTTGCATGTACTATTGAGGAATTCATGTAGGAAGAAGAGACACAAGCATTTGAAATACCTGGCTAGCTCTCTGTTGTCATCTGTTAATAATTCACATGGCTCTTTCACTTCTATTTTGTTGAGAAAAAGAGAGTAGGCTTGACACAAAGAAGCTCTTAGCTTCCTTTGTAAAGGAGTGGGAGTACAGCATGTCCATTCAGTACAAAGAAAAGAATTTACTTTTGTGAAGTTTTCAGACTTTTTTAGTTTTCTTTTTGTAGGCAGCTTCACCAGTGGACTGTGGGAAAAAACTCTGTTTCTCATGTGACTTTTATACTTGTGTTAGCTAGCTACTATTAGTTAAGCCATAACTGAGCTGAAAACTCCAGGCCCAGACTTTTCCAGAATTTGGTGCCTGCTTTTATAGGGAATCATTTGCTCTACAGTTACCACCAAATAAAATGGTGCATCGCTGTCTTGCCTTACAGTGGGTTTGTGGTGGATCTCTGTACAGTACTACCACAGAGGCTTAAAAAGCCCTGGCAGACAGTTGTAGGGGATGAGTCTGATTCAATGTCATTGTGACACTTCTCTGAAACAACTGAAAGTTGCTGTTCTAGGAAACCTTTGCCTGTAATCACTTCCTTGTATAATTGAAAAAGGATTAGCTAAATTACATATGGTTTCTCTGAGGGTACTTGTGTTTCATGGATGGGATTAAAAGCAGAGAGATAGAGATTATCTACAGTTTGCCATGATCAATATTTACAGTTCAGACTTCCAGCTGAGGTGAATGATGACATTTCTGCAAGCTTTTTGGTGGTCCTGTTCACAGAACCTGCTTCCCTGCTAGGGCTTTATTTTTTCTTTGCTTTAAGTCCCTTTTCTATCCTAGTATGTGCAATGATTTCTGAACTCCCTCCTGCTTAACAGACTAACCCTGGGTAAAGAGTAAGTTTTGAAACTATTATGCAATTAAAATCTTGTTGGTAATATCTTACAACAATGGGATGTTTGTTTGTTTCCGTTTCTCTAAGAAGGATACATTTTACAAAGAGGTGAGTATAACTTACCTTACTCCTGCATAAGTATTAGCAGAAATCTAAAAGATGAGAATGTGAACACAGCTGATTTGTATATCCAAAAGCTCTCTACTTAGGATAATAATGCTATAGATGGAACGTGAAGTTTTAATAGATCATGGGTGGAGACAGACACTAATTGTCTCACCTGGTCATTTGTAGTGAAGGCATTCATTATTTTTGTCTTTTAATATTTCTTTCAGAAAAGCTGGAATGCATGGCCTGCCTGCCTGTCCCCATGGGTCAGGACTGAATTGCAAATTATTCCTCTGCTGCTTGAGCAGACTGGCTGCTGTTGGAAATGTGACACTCAGCTATGTGGAATTCTTGTCTGTACCAACCTTGCCATGTCTGCATTCATTTTTCCTAAATTACTAAACACTTTGCACTTAATGAGCTGCAACTAATTAGTACCTCTTGCTTTGCTATACCTGTAAAATTATACTTCCAGTAAAATGTTTCATTAACTGATTAGACATCTCAACCAAGTTGACTTTTGTCCTCTTGTTTACTGGTTTTTTACTAGATAGTGAGATTAAAATCTTGTCGTCTAACTCCAAAGATGCAATCTCTTCATGTTCTTCTCTCATGACAGACTACATTTAATTCTTATTCTGGAATGCTGTTTCCCTAAATGAGGTGTCCTCTTTATCCTGTGGAGCAGAGTGCCTGTCCCATTTCCCAACATAGCCTAAAGCAGGGATGACCAGCTGCTCTGTGGCTGCCCTTGCCCCAGCTGATGATCCAGGTGCTGGAGGATAATAAGAGGCTGACACTGCAGAGGGTGCTTGGGCTATCCTGAAGAACAGGTACAAACAAACCTTACTGGTCTGGTGGCATGGTCCAGGAGGGCAGGGCAGGGAGACACAGCTGCTCACAGTGAGCTCAGCTCCTCAGCACTCACAAACTATGGTATGGAGCCCATTCCAGCAGAAGGGAGCAAAGTCCTGGTTTGGCAAGGCCTTGCCCATCAACACCTTGAGGTCGTCTTGTTTTACCTACTGTGGATCTTGGAACAAAAACTGTTTTCAGTAAAAGAAACAAAGCAAAGCAAGCCCCTACCCCCTTCAGTTTGGGCTGATTCTGGTGGAGGCCAAGCAATGCTGGTGGTGCCTCTATGTGTGCTCCCTAGGACAGAGGTGTTTAGAGCTGCTCCTTGGGATCCTGCTGTGCTGTCAGCACAGTGTTTCCACCATGGCTGCAAAGGGTGAGGTCCTTCAGAGTTTGTTTCTTGGGGGCTCTGAGGACTTTTCTACAGGAAGTTTTGTGGCAGACAGTTTGACTGAACATTTGCTATTACAAGGAAGCAACACAGAATGCTCTATCCTCTGATCCTTCCTGGGACCTTGCACGCATTTTAACAGCTGTCCTTTCTTCCCTCTTTCTTGGTCCCAGCTAATTTCAAATCCTTTGGTTAAGGGGCTTTTAGTCTCTTTTACAGTGATGTGCAGTGCATGTGGTGTCCATGCAACAGTGGACTGCCTTAAGAGTTGCCAGGCTGAAACACTGGCCAGCTGGCAAGGCTTGCAGCTGGCTATCAGTTCTGTGGATGTACAGATCCCCAAAGCACCGTGAGGAGGAGCAGATACAGGTAGATAGCCCATTTCAGCTTCTACTCAGTGTCCACTTGCACTTTGTTCTGAATGCTTTATTTAAATAAAACTGGTGAAAACACTTCCCTCTGCTTTTAGAAGAACTTAGTGAAAATATTGAAGTATTTTTAAAAGCCATTAGCCATTCAAGAAGCTGTTTATTACAAAGTAGTGGAGACTGTAGCCAGGTGGGTCTCTTCTCCCAGGCAACCAGTGACAGGACAAGAAGACAGTCTTAAGCTGCACCACAGGAGGTTTAAGCTGGACATTAGGAAGAAGTTCTCCACAGAAGGGTTGCTTGGGCATGAATGGGTGTTCAGGGAGGTGGGGAAGTCATCATCTCTGGAGGTGTTAAGGAAAAGATTGAATGTGGCACTCAGTGCCATGGTCTAGTTGAGAAGGTGCTGTTAGGTCATAGGTTGGACTTGATGATCTCAAAGGTCCTCTCCAACCTAAATGATTCTGTGATTCTGCAAAATCTCACTGCTCTCTTATTTTCTCTTGTTTGATTAAGTGGGTATCCAGATACTCTATGGATTGCCTTACCACTAGTGAAGCTTTATGATACAATGTGGGTGATGCCCTTACAGGAATCTGTTTACCAAACCCAAGTACAGATATTCTAACATTTTTAGTCACATGTTTGACTGTGATTTCCAAAATGGCACCTTAAAAATAAGTGGCAGCTGCCCTCCTGATTAATGAATATATATACATATATGTGTGTATATATATATATATGTATGTATGTATGTATGTATATATGTATGTATGTATATAATACCAGGTATGCATTCTTCCAGACGTTTTTTTTCCAAATTCTTTGGTGATCTACTGTATGCAAGTACATGGTAAGTTTCATGTACATGTAAGTTACTGGACTCATTTCAACTGAACATTTGTTTGAACATCAATAAACCAGTGATTTCTCAGGTGATGCAGATCAGTTGCCATTAGCTAATTTTCAGTTTATAGTCTGAAACACTTTAACTGTTTGTGTAAGTTCATCAGCCAGAGAGAAGATATGTGAAGTATTAATTGTGGCTAAAGCAGAACAAATTGCATTTGTTCAGAGTAATGTTTTCTGCAAATACATTATGAACAATCCATATCCTGTGATATATGTCATCTCTCTACCATCAGACAGA